TGTACGCAGCGCTGGAGGACTATCACCCTGCCGAGCTGTACCGCGCGCTCGCCGTGTCCGGGGGCACCCTGCCTCGCCGAAAGGTGCGTCCCCCGCCCGCCTTCAGGACCTGCTTAGCCCCACTCCGTCCCCCTACAGGGCCTGCTGACCCCGCAGTGCCCTCTCCTCGGCGTCCGCGGAGTCCCCCACCCACCTTCTTCCCCGCTGGGTGCCTCGACTCCCCCGCGTTCCCCGCTGCTCCGAAGGCTGTGGCCCTCGCCTGCACACCGTGCCCAGGCTCGGTGGCTCTCAACTCCTCGCCCCATGCGCGCCGCCCCATCGCGCCCCCTCTCTCCCTCCTTGACTCCTCCCGGCACCCCCCTTATCCTACTCGCTCCATCTGGCTTTCTGCTCCCCATGCCCCGCCTCCTCGTGGCCAGGTGTCCTGAATCCCCAGGATCCCCTCGCCCCAGGGGCAGAGACGGCCCTAGACAAGTTGAAGGTCTGAGAGCCCCCGGTGGGAGAGGTGGGCCGGTGGCCGTGCCGCGTGCGTTCTCACTCTGAGGAAGTGCGTGGGGCGCCGCTGACTCCGGAGAGCACACCCTTCCGAGGGGACTCCCCGATTCCTGGGCTCTGGGCCTGCCGCCTGGCCCCACGTCTGATGTGCGGGGCGCGAGGGCCACAGCTCCCTGGACTTCTGCCGGAACCGGACGTAGTGGGAGGGGTCGCAGGGAGCCCACGGGGCAGGAAGGATGCGGGCCGCGCCCACCTCGGAGTCTCCCCTCCGCCAGCCTCTTCCTCTGGCCCCAGGGGACCTGAGGCTCAGAACCTACACAACACCAGGTTAAGGAGAGGGGCCTGGTGGCCTTTCCTCACCCAGCCACCCTCCTTTGCCCCTGGCCCCCAGCTAGCCCCCACACAATGAACAGCTTGTTGAGAATTTGCATTTTATGAAAAGCATGTTGAAAGACAAAGGGGTCTCTCTGTGCTGCCCAGTCCTTCCTCCCTGGCCATTTGGGAACTGTCCCCACCCCTGAGGCCAATCTGGTTCTGACCCTTCCCTTCCTTGCCTTGGGCAGCTTGGGGGGAGGGTTAGCAAAGGCACAGACCAGAAAGGCCCTGGGCTGTGCAGGCTCCAAAGGAAAGGGCTGCTCTGGGACTGGACCTCCTCCAAGGACCAAAAAGTTAGGGAGGGTAAGAGACTAGTTTATCAAGGACCCTGAAGAGACAGGAACCTTCATCTCTCATCATTCCCCCACCCCCCTGCCCCAAAAGAACTCCCGATCTCCCTCCTTTAGTGAGACTTACTGACAAGTTTGACATCTAAGATGTTTTGTCCCAGAAAGCACAAAATGTATGACAATGGAGAGAGACCCAGGTGTAGCTGGGCACAGCTGGTCACCTGCAGCTGGGATCCACAACTGGTCCCTGAAACGGGCTGTACCTTAGGAGACCTGGCACCTATGTCCCCACATTCTGGCTGGGATTGCCAGCCCTTCAGGCCGGGGTCCCTGACCCTAGCCCTCCCAAGCCACTGTCTGTAGCTGAGAAATTAGATGGAGAGACCCAACTGGCAGAAGGTCCTCGGAGCACCTTGATAGGTGAACCCAGGGGACACCTATCCTCTGAATCCCACTGGGGAAGAGCCCCTGCCTCAGCTTTGGGAGTCTGGATGGCCTGAGCCTCTACAGACATGGGCCCTCGGGGTGGAGACCATTCTAGAATAATGATCTCCCCACCCACTGCCAGTGTGGAAACCAACAAGGGCTTAGAGGTTCATGGATCTGGAACCCAGGAGGATGGTTGTGTCCCTGCAATCTCAGGTATGAAGGTAAGGCCGTACAGAAAGTTGGGGAGTGGTGCCAGTAGTGACACTTGGCAAATAGTTGTACCAGCACCAAGGCAGGTGTGGATGTGGAGTTGCAAGAGGCAAACAGGAAGTGGGTCGCTGTGTCCAGGGTAGCACTCTCAGCATCTGCTCAAGGACAGTCCTGCCTCACCTGCTCCTTCTGACCATCTTCCTGCCCAGGGCTCAGGATTCCGCTGGAAGAATCTCAGCCAGAGTCCTGAACAGCAGCGGTGAGTCACCAGCACCCAGCCCCTGCCATGGTCCAAAGGGGTGAGGTGCTGGGTTGGGCGGTGCCAGGACAGCATCTCAGCCTAGCGAGGGTAGTCATTCTCCTAGCCTTTAAGGATGGCTCCCCCGCTGAGAGTGAGGGGCAGGTGGGGGTGTGGGCTGTGTGAAGGGGGTGGCAGAGAAAGGAGGTAGGGACTTTTGAGTCATTAGGTGCTCTTCAACCCACCCCCAGTCCCTGCCAGTTACCCCTCCCTGGGGAGATCTGGATGAACGGATGTGGGAGGTGGGAGGGGGTGTAGGCAAAGTCTATGGGGAATGTCCTAACCCAGGCCTCCTGGGCTCCCCTGAGCCCTCCCAACCTTGGCAAACCCCATGGGCCCAGACCTTAGCCAGGCTGTGTCCAGCTGCTTGGGGCTGGCTACCCCTGCCTCCACAATGTCAGTCCTCTTCTGGTCCCAGCCTGTGGCAGCCCTCTAAGGAGGGATCTGAGTGTGGGCAGAAGTTTCCCTTCTCTACTCAGTTTCCCTTCTCTACTCATGTCCCATCCCTGATTTGGGCTTGACTTTCTCTAAAATGGATCAGCAACTGGCCTGCTGACCAGATTGGCCTGTTTGGCCCTTGAGCTAATAATTTTTAAAGAGTTATAAAAATAAAAACAAAGAACAATATATGACAGAGATCATAAGGGGCCTGCAAAGAAAGCCTAAAGCATTTACCATCTGGCCCTTTGCAGAAAAAGTTTGCTGACCCTTCCAAAAAACCCTAGAACATTGGGGTAGACGCTGAACTCCCAGCCACCCTGCTCCCTGCCCCAGTAGTACAGAGAGAGGGGAAAGGCCTGCTGTTCAGAGCGAGAGGGGCTCAAGTTGGAGTCGGGAGGTGCTGCTCAGCATTTGGGGGAATATCTGGGTCAGGCTGGGAGTGGAGGAGCCTAGTGTCCAGGGCCTTGCCGAGGCTGAGCTACTTGAAGGGGCCTTTGGAGGCTGCTTTAACTGTGCCTCTGGCTGGGCAGGAAGGAAGGGGGTGGGAGTGGGCAGAGGAAACTCTGGGCTCCCCCAGCAGGCGAGGATCTGGAGCGGCTCCAGACCATTGTGTCCAGCGGGCAGGCCTTCAGTGCGGGAAGGGGCGGCCTCGAGGCTCCCCTCCCCCAGCCCCCACATCTGGTGGGCTGGCCCCAGCACAGCTGGGAGGAGCAGCTGTGGTCTTACTGAGCCTCGTGACTGGCCTCTGGGGGTGGGGCCAGTCCTCTCCCCAAAGCTGTGGAACAGAGGAGGCTGCAGGCTGTGGCTGAATTTGGGGCCTTAGCTAGTCAGTAAGTGGTACTGTAGGGCTCACTGGAAAGCTGGGGTGTGGCTAAAAAACTCAGCCGGCCCATCCTTCAGGGGACCGGCCCTTCTCTGTGCTTCCCTCCCACCACTAGAGGCTGGATTGGTTCTCTGTGGCTCCACGAGGCTGATTTCAGTTGGGTATGGGAAAGACATTCCAATAATCTGTGAGGAGACTGAGCTGTCACTGGAGACTGAGTCCTGCTGGAATGTTCTAGACCAGTGGCCAATATCCAGGGAGGCCCAAGCTATGGGACTGCTACACCTTTTAATCCTGATTGTCTTGACCCCTGTGTTTCTTGCAGGAAAGTGCTGACGTTGGAGAAGGAGGATAACCAGACCTTCGGCTTTGAGATCCAGGTGGGAGAAGCTGCACACAGGGGTCGGGGGGTTGAACGGCCAGCCTGAGGGATGCATGGACTTGTCCCAACCCTGGGCTGAGGGTCCCCTTGTCCATTACAGACTTATGGCCTTCACCACCGGGAGGAGCAGCGTGTGGAAATGGTGACCTTTGTCTGCCGAGTTCATGAGTCTAGCCCTGCCCAGCTGGCTGGGCTCACACCAGGTGGGGCCTGAGCCCAGGACACCCAGGTCTGGGAAGGGGATATGACCTTACTCCCAAGCAGAGGGGGTGAGAAATCTCTCCTGAAATCAATTCCTCTTCCTTTTCCTTCTTTGAGAAGGCCAGAGAGAAGAAAGATAGAATGAGGGCTTTGGATCTAGGCAAATTTGCCATGTACTGTGTGATCTTATATACAGCTCCATCTACAAAATGAGGGTAATAATGCATCCAAACATCACAGTGCAGCAAGGGGATTCCCTGGGCACAGAGCCAGGGCCTAACTAATGGTGGATGCTGCTGCTGCTGCTCTGATTCCTCCCAGCAACCTGGCAGTCAGCATGGGCAGGAGCTGGGAAAGAAGGAACATTCCATTAGGTCTGCTTTATATTGGGGATCAGGCCAATCCTGCCCCCAAATGGACCCGACGCTGAGGAACTGATGTTACTCCCTTTAAAACAATTAACAACTTTTTTTTTTTTTTTTTTTTTTTAAGAGACAGGGCCTCACTCTGTCACCCAGGCTGGAGTGTAGTGGCATGATCATAACTCACTATAACCTTGACCTCCTGGCCTCAAGCAATCCTCCTCTTGCCTCTGCCTCCCAAAGCAATATGTTACTTCCTCTAACAAGGAAATTATGCCTCAATAGGAGACCCCTGGATTGAGCAGATCTAGAGTCCCCAGGTTCCAGGAAGGGCAGCCTGAAACTGTATGAATCAATCCCCCCTCCACCATCCTTGCCCCTAAGCTCCTACCTCCTTCCCACTTACCAGCAGCCTGTGCTAGCTATCATAGTCCATTTTCTGTTACTATAACAGAATACCTGAAATTGGGTAATTATAAAGAAAACAGGTTATTTAGCTCATGATTCTGGAGGCTGGGAAGTTCAAGACTGAGTGGCTGCATCAGGCGAGGCCCTCATGCTGCATTCTGACATGATGGATGGCATCTAATGGCAGGAACGCCTGCAAGAGTGGCGAGTAGGCACATGCAAAAGAGACAAAACATGGGTGATCTTGCTTTATAGCAACCCACTCACCAGGTAGCTAAACCAGTCCTGCCAGAGCAAGAACTCACTCCCCAAAAACAGCATGAATCCCTTGATTGGGTGGATCCTTCATGGTCCAAATGCTGGAGTACAATGGCGTGATCTCAGCTCACTGCAACCTCCGCCTCCCGGATTCAAGCAATTCTCCTGCCTTAGCCTCCCGAGTAGCTGGGATTACAGGCACTGGCCACCACACCCAGCTCATTTTTGTATTTTTAGTAGAGATGGGGTTTTGCCGTGTTGGCCAGGCTGGTCTCGAACTCCTGACCTCAGGTGATCCACCCGCCTCAGCCTCCCAAATTGCTGAGATTACAGGAATGAGCCACCGCACCCGGCCCCAAATGCCTCTTAAAGGTCCTACTATCTCTCAACACTGTTACATTGGGGATGAAGCCTCAACATGAGTTTTGGGGACAAACCATATTTAAATGGTAGCAGTAGCCAAGTAGTATACTACAACTTCTCAAGGTAGTTTCATATCCACTCTCCTTCCCCATCATCCCTGAAGCAGCCACAGCAGGGATCCATACCCCTTTTTACAGATGGGAATGGAACCCTCAGATGGAGCACACCACGCTTGAGGTCAGGAGGCTCTGCAGTGGTGCAGGGTAGCAGAACTATCCCTCTAGGGGCCAGTCATTCCCTGTGCTTCTCTCCCACCACCAGAGGCTGGACTGATTCTCTGTGGATCCATGAGGCCCTGCCATGCCTGGGGCCAGGGTTGGTTCCCAGCTGGATGCTGCTCACCTGCCCTTCCCTAAATTGACTGGGTCTTATGGCCAGCGTGGACTAGACAGAAATAACCAACTCTGAGGGCAGCCCAGGGTCCTGGGTTGGCTGAGCCTTGGGACAGAGCTTGAGGGTAGAGTGAGGGTGTTGGGTGTGTGAGGTCCCCGCCGTTTGGCTGGGGTGCTGGGCCTGGACAACCTGGTAGTCACTACAGGCCCAGAAGAATGGCTGTGGTTCTGTGTGTTTGGATCGAGTATGAGAGATGTCAGAGGAAGTCTACCGAGAACCATGAGAAGTTGGAGGAGGGAGTTCGGGAGTTTTCCTTGGTGTTACTACCCACTCCTCTCCCCTTTCTGGCTAAGGTAGGATGCTGGAATTCTAGCATGCCCCATGGAGCAAATCTAACCCCCTTGTCTGCCTGGCAGGGGACACCATCGCCAGCGTCAATGGCTTGAACGTAGAAGGCATCCGGCATCGAGAGATTGTGGACATCATAAAGGCATCGGGCAACGTTCTCAGGTATGTCTGGGAGCCGAGGTGCCTGAAAACTCCTGAGCTCAGCCTCTTGGTATTTCCTCAGCCTGTGGCTCACTCAGCCTTTGATTCCCCAACCTCAGACTGGAAACTCTGTATGGGACATCAATCCGGAAGGCGGAACTGGAGGCTCGTCTGCAGTACCTGAAGGTTGGGAAACCCAGATAATGTCCACCCTCCACCCTCCTCTTCCCAAGCCTCTGCCCTGTGGGGGGTCATTTATATCTGAATCTCCTTTAACTGAAGGTTTCTTCTGTCTACTCCCTGACCCCTTGTCTGTACCCACATCCTGCTAGTTTCCTGCTAGCTTGTGACAGTGGGGTGGGGACTGTCTCTTGCAGCAAACCCTGTATGAGAAGTGGGGAGAGTACAGGTCCCTAATGGTGCAGGAGCAGCGGCTGGTGCATGGTAAGTAGATCCCGGGGTGTGAAGGGCCACTTGTTCTGCTCCAGATACCCCATCTGTGCTACCCCCTCAGAACTGGCGGGTTCTAGTAAAGAAAGGTTTACTAGTAAACCTCCACAGTAAAGCAAGGTTTGTTGAGCTACTACTACTTTGGGTACTGCCGCACCCACATTTCTGGTTATTCTCACACTAGCCCTCTGCAGGTAGTGTCATCTTCACTGTACAGAGGGGAACACCAGGGCTCAAAGAGTGTGTGTCAATTCTTCCCGAGGCCCTTTTGTGCTAAGCGGCCCCCATAAGGATCTAAGTGGTAATTCCTGATTTGCGGGTGAGGGAAGTAGGGTCTCAGGGTTGTGCCTGGCCAGGGCCACAGAGATAGATGGTCAGCAGGACGGAGTGGGGATGCCCCATCCATGCCCTCCGACCCTTTGCGGAGGACACTACGGCCCAGGCCTGACCCACCCGCCACCTCTCCCGTCTCTGCGCAGGCCTGGTGGTGAAGGACCCCAGCATCTATGACACGCTGGAGTCGGTGCGCTCCTGCCTCTACGGTGCTGGCCTGCTCCCGGGCTCGCTGCCCTTCGGGCCT